TGACTGTACATCTAGAAGCAATCACCTGAACCAAGATCACAAACATTAAACACTAACCGTCCCGTAGGTAATGAGGGTCGACTTCATTTAGCACACTGCCTCCCATCAAGTTTCAGGCGCGAATAAGCTACTCCGAGTTGAGTTCATGAAATGACATGTCATTCACGTATCGCTAGGATAAGGATAGCTCGAAGGTTTAGGTAGACGGGCATTCGAGAGGCTTGCGAAGGTTGAGCGCAGCAGAATGGAGGGAGCACTGGCAGGGTGCTTCTGGAATTGGCCTGACGCCAGGTGCATGGTTTAAAAGCCGATGACCCTGCTGCACATGTCACCTGAAGGGCACCTCCGCATTGACCATGAAAACCGTGGGCACGATACAGCCACTATTTGAGCAGGCTTAATGAAAATCGACACTACGTGCCTGTTGTAGGTTCTATTCGGAAGACGGTATCTTGTCAGGAATGAAGTCATCGAGGTCGTACAGCCGGCTCCTGTTCAGCCGGAGGCACGGGGGCAGCCTCTGCGACAATGTGCGGGCTGACCATGAGAGGGCTCAGGGACCATAAAGTAACGGAAGCGCTTGAAGCCTTTCGTGAGATCCACGCAGGAGCCTAGAATAGGGTTAGGAACCTATTCTGGGACGTCTTCAAAATTTATGCGAACCAGATCACGACCACGGCAGAAGACGCCATGCATAGACGAAAGCAGAGAAATGACGTTCTGGCAGTTCTCTTGGATGGAGAATGAGGCTGCGTTCAGACTTCGCGATAAGGCGCGTCTAGGCGATACATCAGTCGCTGGTACTTCGCGAGGATACGGGGACATAGGAAGACAGTGTAACAAAGTGATTAGGCGTCATTAACAGAAAGGTATGCAGTGCGATCGGAAAACAGTAACGTTAGTATCCTTACTATTCTATAAAGCACTAACTCTGTGTGTCGGTTTGTCGGTATGTATGTATGTATGTATGTATGTATGTATGTCTGTCCGTCCGCAAAATGCCTCAGGGGCTCGAGTTAGCGGGAGGAGAAAACGACCGCTAGACAAACCGGTAACCGATTGGTGCGAATGTATCAATCCAATGTTTTGATTGTGATAAGAGCGTATATAAGACAACCATTTGGTACACTCCGAGCCATTGCACGAGCTGCTGGCGTGGCAGCTGGACGTGTGCTCGTGCGGGGGCAGGGTGGGGTGAAGCGAGGGGGGGGGGCACCGAGTGATCCCTCCTTCCTGCTTCCTTCCCCTGCACGTGCTCAGCCGGACCTGAGCATGTGCAAGTGAAGGGAGCAAAGGGGTGGGGGAACGGTGAGAGGGTGCGAAGCGCACGCTCGAGTAGGAGCACGCAGCAAGAGAGAAGGATACAACCGCTAGCAAAACTGCGAGCTTATCAAAATAAAGTGAAAACTATGGTGTTGTTTTGATTGTATCACCCTCACTAAGTGAGACAACCATTTAGTACTCACCGAGCCATTGCTCCAGCTGCTCGCGTGGCAGCTAGACGTGAGCTTCATCTATTACGATTCGATCAAAACAGCGCATTATGAGTAGCTAGGTGAAAGAACAAATATTGTTCCCATTATGAAGTGCGCCTGGCGAAGCTAAGCCAGCTGAAGATAAGGAGGAGCTCGGGCGTGAGCCGGGCGATCCGACTGGTTTTATTATATAACGCCTAATCACGCATCTGATAAAGTCCTATTTCTTCTATGTCCCCTTCAAAATACTAAAGCACACCGTCTGGCACTGTCCCACTCTCCTACCTACTGTGCTACTTTCCCAAAAAACAAGACGCCGATCGATGCCCGTTTATGGCCGCGATCCCCGTCTACAGCACTGCAGCGTTATTGTAACGGTAGCGTGTCGACGCGTGTCAAAGTATGAACGCTGTCTAAGCGATTGCTTGACTCCTACAATCGCCGGTAGGCCACTTATAAAAGCAACATCAATGAAGAGAAAACAAAATTACTTCAATGAAATATGAATAAAATGGATTCCCGTGGAGAGATTTGTGCTGCGGCGCGGGCGAGCATGGTACAAGGACCTGGCCTGTTCGCAATGGAAGAACAATGTGCCGAGACAACTGGCAAGGACATGCCTAGCTAGTTTGTTGTTATCGCGCAACACGTAAATCTCGAGTTGCTTTCAAATGAAGTGGGAATAATTTGAAATGAAACATAAGTAGTGAAAACTTCTTCATCTTCCTAATCATTAAAAGATAGAAAGAGAGGACCAGCGAAAGAAAAACTGGCGCTATTCGGCTTGGAGGGAGCATTTCACACTCTCGCTAATCCGTTTACTAGTTCATGTTAACTAATGGGTCTTACTTTGGTGAACTCTTGTGAAGCTGCGAAGCGGGAAGAGGGAGCCACATTAGTTAGAAGAGCTCACAGGCTATCACGAGGTTCGCCGACTACCGTTAGATGCCCCCACCAAGCCGAACTTCGCCAAAAATTTACTATATTTCTCATTTGTTTATTACTCGTGTACTTCAAGACCCAGGCATGGGTCGCACTAATGGTCAGACAAAATCGACAAAAATATGTAGGAAATCAATAGTTAGTGGAATTATTGAAACACATGAAGTTTTCCTTGTTTACTAACTTGTTTACTAAACAGGACTGACAACAATACTGTCAAAAAAGGCCACTCAAGTAGAAGATGAGAAAATAAGACGAGCACTCACATCTTGCAAGATGTACATATGAAGCGGGATAGTGGCTGATCAAAGATCACAATCGAATGCACCCCAAATCGAAAGATCAATTTATCCCGCCGAAACCGGCATGGAAACATGGCTCACACTCTCTGTGTAGGATTATATAATTAGGGCCAGTGAATTGTACGTAATACAGCAACTTGTAAGGTGTACAGTCTTTTTTACATAGATGAAGGGGCGTAGACAGAAGGATGAGTTTGGCGCGCGTGCCAAACCAGTTTTCCAGTTGAAGCGAGCAAGCAACAAAACTGTATCATATCGTTTGCATTAGTAGTTTTCCTACAATTGTTGCCGCTTTCCGGCTTCAACAACTGGTGGAAGACGGGTTCGGCGTTGCGCCAGACACACCGCCTGACCACGCCCCTTCATCCGTAACGAACATGACTGTATAGCCAATAGTAGATCGGTCCCCCTCCTCCTCCCCAAGATACTAAGATACTTTTCCTACACAACTCATAGAACTCCTTCTGCAACACCCACGACAACAGCCGAGCACTTTTTACCGGAGCATCACGCACCTGGGGTGTCTATAAGACAAATAACAAAGCGCCCGGACTCAAGATCCTAACTCAAAATTTTGTCTATTCAAAAGTACACGCCACGCTGTTGTATGGGCGGAGTCAGATGTACCATTATCACTGGACATTCGTCATTTAGGTACCTTACAGAAAAGGAATAGAGGGGCAAAGGTGAGTCTGAGTCCGTTCATTCAATTAGTGTGGACTACGTCTTCAACAGTACAAAGATGTGGATCGTATATAGGTTAAGTGCTGGTCTCAGTAACACCCGACCCTCCCACTGTTCCCACTGGAGGGCAACCAAATTTTTTGGCTCATACGCTAAACCAAGGCGTAAGTATGAACCATTACATTAAGGTCATTCACTATACTTGGTCTATGTAACGATGCCAGCTGCTCGCTTGATAAAGTGGTCGTTGACCGCGCTGATAGTTCTAGGAGGGGCATCTTGCACTTTCGCTAATTCTTTTTGCTTACCAGCAGGTTTAGTTTTGGTACGGTCTATGCAACTCCTGAAAAGCTACAAAGTGAGCCACTGGTACAAGTGAGTCACTTCGGTCACAAAGATTCAGTCTTCACAAGGTGACCTGTGCGGGCATCGCTCAGTCTCAACTGTTGCCCCCCCACAAAGTCTAACTGAGCTCGACACCAACTTTTCGGTCAATTAGGTGCTTCGACTGATTTAGTCACTGCGAGTGTGTGCGTGAGTGGAGGGTACAGATGCACCTATTCGAGCCCCGGCATAGATCGGTTCATACTTTGAAGTAATTGTTTGAGAAAATGGCTACTTGCCACATTTCGGGCGCCAACTCAGATTCGTTCCTAATGAAAAAAGAGCAGGACTTTTTCAGTAAAGCCATCGGCGGTTTTGCGCGGCAGGCGGGAGAACAAGGACCATAGTCGGAATGCGCCCATGCAGTCGCGCGCAGTCATGAATTGAGCACCACCCCACATTTAATGTAAGCTGGGTTGCAACACGCGATTACTTTTCAATCGTCACACATTTAATTTGCAGAATATTCGCTTTCCGATTCAAAAGGTCAAAGTCCTTCTGTAACTCATGCGGCTAGAGGGAGTGTATCCAACTCTTGGGGCGCGGACGGCTCCAATTCCAATTCCCAGTAAGGTGGAACCACTTCCAAGCGTACTCGGAGCGCTTTTTCTTCTACCAGATGCCGGAACTGTGCGGAGAGTCTAACTGGCTCGCTGGATCAAGAACATGCCTTGATGAGCTCGTCCCAAGCGGTCGTTGGTTGACCCGCGGGCGGTCGCGTTGCAGCAAATCAGTGATCAGCAACAGCATCAATATATGAAGCAGCGCTCGTGCTCAAAAAAAGCAACTGATTTTCAAAGAGAAATCCTTAATGAATCAATGTTTGTAGAACAGTCAAAAAAACAGATCCTAACCATGACCTTACGCGAGCGGTCGCGGTGCGGTCAGCCAATGGGCAAACATCTACCAAGCTTAATAGACTATATGTCCTAGTAAAGCTAAACACAACCTTCTTCGAAAGCACACGTGACTCACTGAAGATTGGGCGTTATGATGCATCTAGACCTCACCATTACCCGACGCGAGCGGATGCGGTGCGGTCAATATAGCTAGGCAGTCACCTCGAATAGAAGACAACTCTGCGAGGATTTCAAAAAAAAACTTCATTTTATAAACACTTATAATTAATCAACGTTTATGCTTTCGTTTCTATATCGAATTATCCTTCGGGAATAGATATGATTGGAAGCAATAACTCTTCTGTGGGAACTGATTATTCTGGCGCCCTGAAATTTTCGGGATAAAACTGGGTCAGGCCAGAGAGTTCGGGATCGCAGTCAATGGGACATTATTGCCGCAGCTTCCACAACGGAGCATTCCTCACGTTTCTAGTGTGCTCTCCAACGCATCACTTAAAATCGGGTATCGATCATGCGCGCGTAGATCGATAGCTATCCAAAGCATGGATGATATCTCATAATGCATGCATGCATGAAGCATGATAATGATGTTTTATAAGGAATGAGCTAACCATAAGTAGTGCTTTCGCTGTAAATGGCTCACGACAAGCGGAGAGGGGTACTGCTCGCGACGACTCAGATGGTAGCGTGGTGCTGACGCTAGGTAGCCGCGCGCAACACCGGATGTCAATATTCGGATGTCCTGACCCACATGCTACAAATGTTACACTCACTTCTCCTCATGCGAAATCGTTCCTTTTGAGGTATTCGAAAGCGTTTCTTTCGAAGCATTCGAAGTCGTTTCCTTTGAGACATTTGAAGTGGTTTCTTTAGATCTAGACCTCTTCGCAGCCTCTTCGGAACCTTCGCTACCATCAGTCGGTTTATTGGCGGTGGGTGTTGACGGGTCTTTCTTCTCAGGTACAGCACCACTGGAAGGAGTGGTCGTGGCGGCGGCGGTCGTTGTTGAACCTCGTGGTGAATGTGACATTTCTTCATACGTGTCGTCTTTAGGGGTTCCTCGATGCTGGCCCAGTTTTCGATGCACATAATCAAGCTGAAATTCAGATCTGACAATTGAAATCCAAATCTGATGTTTCATAGAGAGACTGGCGGCGACACTCGGCACACGCACTATTTCCCCGGCCAAGCTGGGTTCATACTTTGCCAATCAGCTGGAAGAAAAGTATTCGGACGGTCTTGCGTATAAGGAGAATCAGCGATTTGAGCGCAACGAACGCATAAGTATGAATTGGTGACCAAAACGTCGATCTCTTCTCTCAAATTCTCTCAAAACGCCAGATCGATACCTGCACTCTCTTTCGCTCAAAACGCCGACAAGGCTGATTTTCGTGAAACGCCGAATCTATTCGCAAAGTATGAACACAGCCCAACTGACCAGGTCCAGAAATCTTGCGTTAAATCACCTAGAAACTGGCGGGAGGCGGGCAAGCAAATTGTAATTGGCCGCGCCGTCGCGTGCGGCGCACAGTCTGGTGAAAGCGCGACTTCATTTTTAGTATGGCGTCACGGTGCGATCGGGCGGGGAATCTTTAAACTGTGCGTCCGTTTCTGGTGAAAGTAACGTAATTCGTTTGGGATCTGATTGATTTTTTACCCTGTTTCCACTCAACTTGAAAATGGAGACGAATTCGTGCGAGGGTTCCGAATATACAGCAAATTTCACTGAATGTATAAAAGCATGGGAAACTATAGTCAGTATCGCTTTTGGCGGACGCGCTTTGACAAACCCTCTTCAGTAATCCCCTTTAATATTCAAATTCGAACGACAGGCAACCTCTTCTTCATGGGCGCGTCGGTCAGCAAGTACCTGCGCAGTCAATTTACAATCCTCTTGTCATGTCCAGAGCCTGGTGAGAGGTGCGCACGCATGGAATTGAATATCGCACCATCACAACTTTATCGCTGGTCGCACGAGTTACTTGTAAGTTTACCATATCTTCATATTGGAAAATTTATATACATTGTGGAGATGGTCACGAGTCTATTGAAGTCACTGCCCAGCAACCCACAACGTCGCGTGGCAGCTACGCAGAACCGACGTTCTGGATTACTACGGCCGCCGCGCGCAGATCTCGGGTGTGTGTCTTCAGGCAGGTAGTGTAAATCTGAAGAATACCTTCTTATGAGTAATCTTTCTTCCGAAGGAACGTTCTCGTGTTGATTCAGCATACTCGTCGAAGAACGACGCCGGGTTAAAATGCATGATAGATGGCTGATGAATCGAGAGCGGCAATAACATAAAATAAAATTCTTGCACATCATTATTCCTTCCGACCCCCACCCTTCATCGCCCTGCAGATGTAGGTTTATCAAACTTATGCGACGGTAAGATTTTGGCTATGCAATCTGCCTCGAGCGATAAATCGTCGCTTCCGATCCAATTCTGACAGGGTCATGCATCACTGGAGATCCCAGCGGGTACGCGCATATTGGTCGTGTGCGATGATAATATTACGCCTACACCGTGCGACGGCACTTTTTGGGGAAAAACGGGAAATTTCTTGGAAAACGGGAAGAATGGTAGGATGTTGGGAAAATTTCTGCAGATGAGAGTCAGGATGAAGTAGGTGGAGGGATAGGAGCAAGAAATCTGGGGTGAAAGGTTGTCTGACACTGCCATTTCTGAAAAACGCCTCTTATGTACTGTGTTAGGGGAAGGACGCACAGACTGGAAGGCACAATGGATAAAAGTCTCACTGAGCGGGTGTCTCCGCGCTTCCGGTTGTCGCGGACTGTGATTCTGAGGCCGCGTTCATACTTGGCGACAACAGCATATAGTGCGCGATTGCAGCCTGCGCAGATCGTTAAACAATGTGACGTCCAGATCAATCACGTCCAGTAGAGATTTTTTGACCGTTCCAGGTGTACATCGAATGTCGCTGACGTGCGCTACACCACGTCCACACAGTGCTCGATCGCGCTATCCAACTGAGCGATCCAATCCGCGAGCGCGAAGTATGAACGCGGCCTGTACAAGTGCCCCACGGAAAGCTGGTTCCGTGAAAAATGACATGGGATCGCTATAAATCGTATTCCTATACTTGCATTGATTTTTTGAGTCCTTTTGAGGGAGAGAGTAGAATCAGTAATTATTACTTACTGCATGCAACCCATAAACCTTGGGCTGGTGCTGAAATCCAATCACACGCATATCCTCCCAGTCCATCCCAAATACTCATTAGAGTTCGACATTTCGGTGAAATATTCACAGCTCTATGCTGAAACAGGCAGTGCATTCGAAATAATCTTCCTTTTCATGTATCCTTGAGACCAAGGGTATGAAGCATTACTATCGAATTCCAGCCACACTTAAACTCACTGGAATCACACAAAACTAGTAAAATGTTCGAGAAAACTGAAGGAGGAGGGTTCGAAAAGGATTGGGTGAGTTTGTAGAGTGGATGAGCCGAGGGGGGGGGAGGGTTGTGACTAGCATTAGACCGCGTTCAGACTTCGCGATCGAGCGACTGGATCGCGCGACAACGACCGCGAGCGCAACGGCGGGATTCCGGACCGCGTTCATATAATGCCAGTCTGAATTGTGCCATTGCGGCGACGCATCGCTGGGCGATGGAGCGCCCGCTCGTGATCGCACGATCTAGTCAAGCCATCCAATCAAGACGCAAAGTCTGAACGCGGTCTTAAGGTACGTATCGCAGCTAGGGATCACTAACTCGCTGTTGTCGCCAACTATGAACATGGCTTTATCACAGAGATCACCAGATCGCGCTACACCGCTATGGGTTATCCGTTATCCGTTCATTTGCACCACGAGTAGAGACCTTACTGGATCCGAATGTAATGCACATCCCTCTCCATAAATGGGGTGAAAAGGAGGTGAGGTAGTTTAGTAGTGATAGAGTGGGTCAGCTCCTGGCTTCGGGGTAATTTTTGCAAAAAATACAATTTCAACCTCAAAATCTCTTCCTGGGTTCCAATCCCAGTTTGCACCATCCTACCTACTATTTTCCCC